CCCCCCCCCCCCCCCCCCCCCCCCCCCAGCCACTTATTGTGTCTCTTGTTTACCTGCTCTGGGAGCTATTCTGTTTCAAGCATATAGCAGCTCCATTTAGCTGCTTGTTTAGTGAGATAATGCCCTGTCCCAGCCTGTCAGCTGAGCTCCCTGCCTGTGCGGTAGCTTTGAACTTCTGAGCATGAGCTCTCTTCTTTACCTGTTCTGGGAGCTATTCTGTTTCAAGCATATAGCAGCTCCATTTAGCTGCTTGTTTAGTGAGATAATGCCCTGTCCCAGCCTGTCAGCTGAGCTCCCTGCCTGTGCGGTAGCTTTGAACTTCTGAGCATGAGCATATCTCAGAAAATAGCTGTGTGATCATGCAACTACACAGCTTACTGGTAACTTAGCCCCCCCCCACCATATCCTCTTGGGCCAGGTCCCCTACCAAGTGACAGCCACCCCTCTCTGATGCTGGGATTGTGGTACCTTTTCCCTCATTCCATCCTGGATAAGTCTGCTAGTATTATTTAATTTAAAAATATCTTATATTCAACAAACATCTCAAAAAGCAGCTTATTGAAGTGTTTGCTAATTCTGTCTGGAGCTGTTTTTAAGGGTAATGGCAAGACATATTTCAGCTTCCAATAAAACTAAACCAATTATGGATGTACAACTTATGATTATTCAAATGTGTGTCATATTGTAAAATTCAAATATAAATTCAGGGCACATTCTATTTAAGCACAGAGTACTGCACTAGATGGACAGAATATGAAATACATGAGACTCTTGTGCTTAAGTGTGACATTAAATTCCCTCATCTATCTATCTGTTCCCTGTTGAATTTCACAGCTCAATTCACAGTGACTGGATCTGGTCATCCTGTCACTGCAGTTGTGGGAGACACCATTGTATTACCCTGTCACCTGTCCCCCAATATGAGTGCTGAGAACATGGAGGTGAGATGGTTCCGCTCCGAGTTCAATTCATTTGTGCACCTGTACCAGCGTGGGAATGATGTATATGGGCAACAGATACCAGAATACCATGGAAGAACGGAGCTTTTGAAAGCCAACATCATGGATGGGAATGTTGCCTTGAAGATTGTCAATGTCAAGCCCTCTGATGAAGGACAGTACCACTGTTTTGTTCAAGATGGTATATTTTATGAAGAAGCCCTGTTGGAACTGAAGGTAGAAGGTCAGTGACATGTCTGTAATCTTTTTTTTAAAGACGGGGCTCAAACCCTGAGCCAGAAATGTACTTAGGCATTTATATAATTGGAAAATATTAATTCAGTTATATTAATCCAACTACCTGAAAATAATGCTTCTAATTTAAAACCTTACTTCTGATGTATTTAAACCAGTAATCAAGGCTGTGGCCTGCCTTAAAGGAATTACCAGGGGAACAAATTAACTTTGCTGGACCTTGAAATGTCTTGGATACAGCCCTTGGAATAAGAACAGAAAAGCAAGCAGTAAATCTTTTTAAAGAGTCTTATTTACTGAGAGAAAATTAGGTGACAATAATATGTTAGTAAAATAAAAAAGGAAAAGAAAAATGCAATATAATCATAGAATCATAGAATACTAGGACTGGAAGGGACCTCGAGAGGTCATCAAGTCCAGTCCCCTGCCCTCATGGCAGGACCAAATACTGTCTAGACCATCCCTGATAGACATTTATCTAACCTACTCTTAAATATCTCCAGAGATGGGAATTCCACAACCTCCCTGGGCAATTTATTCCAGTGTTTGACTAACCTGACAGTTAGGAACTTTTTCCTAATGTCCAACCTAAACCTCCCTTGCTGCAGTTTAAGCCTATTGCTGCTTGTTCTGTCCTCAGAGGCCAAGATGAACAAGTTTTCTCCCTTCTCCCTATGACACCCTTTTAGATATCTGCAAACGGCTATCATGTCCCCCCTCAATCTTCTCTTTTCTAAACTAAACAAGCCCAATTCCTTCAGCCTACCCTCATAGGTCATGTTCTCTAGACCTTTAATCATTCTCATTGATCTTCTCTGGACCCTCTCCAATTTCTCCACATCTTTCTTGAAAT